TCGATAATGTCGGAGTTGTCATCACGCCGACATACGATAACACAGACGGGGTCGGGATACTGGTGGCCACAACATATTACAATTTAAAATTCAACTTTTTAATTTGATTCTAAGTATAAGAATCCAATTTACTTTCTCTTTTATATTTATCTATTTTTTTAAAAATAATTCTTGTAATAATTGCACATATTAAATATTATATTAAAGTAGTTATAAGTAATATATATGATTGACAATGATATTTTTTAAAAAAAACATCACATATTTATAACAAATAACTAATTTAATAAATTTTTTTAATCTATTCAAATTAGTTAATTAACTCTTATACTAAGAATTCGGGATAGTAATATGTTTCAAATACTTCGGCCCCTCGCCCAATGCTTTTTTATAAGATTCTTTTAATTAAATTTTATGATTTTAAACAAAAAAATTAGAATAAATGAAAAATAATAAATATTTAAAATTAATTTGTTTCCTCCAATAAACCTTTATCTAAACATATTTAATGCTTAGATAATAGGTATATTTAAACGAAATTTTATAAAAATTAATTTTGAAATCTATAGAGGCGAGTAATAAATGGGAAAGGGGTCTCTCCACTTATTTTTCTGTTTTCTATTTCCCTCTATATCCGATTTTACTCTGGTTCTAATTATAAGACATCGTTTATAGTCTATAAATAAAGTCTTATAATTAGGAGTGGAGGTACTATTAAAATTACAATATGAAGGATCCATATTATAATTATATAAAATAATTTTGTAAAATATATTTTTTATTATTGTTTTAAATTATCATAAGTAAAATTCAGTAGTTTAATCTTATTAATTTATTTTTTTGTAAAATTAACATTTTATTCATAATTTTCTAAAATATAAAATTTTGACCATTTAAACCTGGATTTTATAATTAAGATAAGAAGTAAAGGGAAGGGGGGAAAAAGGAGAGGCGCTTTGCCGTAATAGACGGTCAATGGGCCAAAGTCAATGAGAGACGAAACTATCCGTTCTAGAGCAAGGAATATGAGTTAAACCCGTAAGTCTAACCCGCCAACCCACTAAAAATAACATGTTGAGATTGGTTAAAAATCAACCCGTTAGTAAATAATGCTTTTCAACTTACATCACTTAACTCATAAGCCACCGTGAGTTAGCCTGCCAACACACAGGCTAACTCATATTTATTTTTTTTTGTATTTTTTAAATTGTATTAATGATTATATTTTTATTATTATGTTATATATTCTATCTAAAAAATTAAAAAAAACCATGTATCATTTATTTATTTAGTTTTTTTAATCAAGTATTTGAAAAAATGATAAAAATTTCATTATATTATAAGAAAAAATATTTAAAAAAATAAAAAAACATATTAAAAAAAAGTTGGCGGGTCGGCGAGTCAACCCATCAACCCACCATGATGGGTTAGGGTTTAGAGTTTAGAATTTAAGATAACGCTAACCTATCATGAACCAACATGCAACTCACCAGTTAACACTCCTCGTATAGTCAATTGGATACAGCTGTACTGTGCAGTACACTGATCATTGCAGCCTCATCTTCCACAAAGTCCTTCATTAGATGGCTAGTCTTTCTTTCTCAACTCTGTGGACGCGTTTTCTTCTGTGTTGACTTCTGTTTCTCACCGAAGTCAGTCTCAGTCGCCGCCGTGCTTCAATCCTCAACTTGAATTGGTATTCAGTAATTTCCTCTGCTTTTCCATTTGATTATTATCATGTGACCTCATTTTCATCTTCCTTTGTTTGTTAATTCTGTTCTGCCTTTCCACGATTGTTCATTCTCCACAATTCACTCAGAATTGATCACTCTCTGAAATCTTCACCCCCTCCATTACTTTGCCCGATAAAATTGCATGCGTACTAAGCAAAGTAGATTAGATCTATTGACGAGAACTCAAAACCCACACCGTGCAACTGTTTGCATGGCTTCAATTTTAATTATTACGTCTGGTTCACGATTAATATTTTTAAAAGTAACTTTTTAATAATCATTTATGAAACGTAAAGTATTTATGAAACATGAAGTAAAAATAAGTTTTTGGTTTAGATTAAAATGATGACAAGAGTTTATATTAAACAATTCCAATCATTGAGCACCTTCCCGAAATCCCTAAAGCATGCAACACTACTGTTTCAATTCATGACTTGTAATATTCTTCCGGTCCTTAATATAAGACCCAATTCTTGAATTGGTTTTGATTCTAAATATAAGATTAATTTCTTATATTTATCAGTTGTTTCTAAATTATCATTATAGATACTCCCTCAACCATAATCAAGTAGAAGAAGGGAAGAGGGTATTAAGAAAGATAATTATGGTGTTTTAGGAAAAATGTGTCATTTTTTTTTATAATTAACTAACTTACCTAACTTTCTTAATCTAATCAAATTGGTTAAATGGGTTTTATATTAAGAACCGTAAGAGTACCTTTTTATGGAATATTGAAAAAAAAAGAAGTTAAAAATTACAAGAACCTTATTTACAAATTTAGTATTATCAATATCAAATAAAATGTGTTTTCCGACTTATCAAAAAAAAAATCAAATAAAATGTTGTTACCATACCTGATTTGAGATTTAATAATTGTTAATTTATTTTTTTATCATTTTCTTTTAAATATATAATGTAAGAAATTCAAATAAATTATTTAATGTTAATAAATGTGACATATTTTTTAAAAACATTTTTACGTAATAATAAATTATATATCAATTTATATATCAGATAATTTAGGACTTTGGAGCCAAATGCTATAAACAGTGATATTAATTACCAGGATACTACAGTATAAAAATTATTTACTAGTATATTACGAGGATATTTGAATAAAATTAAAATTATAGTTTTAAAAATACTTTTATGGTGTACAAAATAAACATTAAAAAATTTATTTCGTTTTATAAAAAAATACTTTCAAAAAATACCTTTAAATGTTTCTAAATGCGCCCTACATCTCAAATCGTTTTTTCAAAGAACGAGTTCTGCAAGCTTCATTTTTTTTAAATAAATTTTTTTTTGTAAAAATGGTGGCAGGGATAGCCTGCCGCCTACTCTCTGTGACTTGACCCCCCCCTTTTCTGCACCTCATCCTACTCCAAACATTTTCCTTCCCCCCTCACTTTTTCCCGCATCCTCCCATACACACATGCACGCACATCACAAATTTTATTATTATAAGCTTAATTTATATATAATATGATATATTTAAAAACTAAAATTAAATAAATTAATTAATACGTACAATTCTTATTATAAACCCAGTTAGCTAATTTAAAAAAATTAAAGATATTACTAAAAATACATGCAATATATGTTAAAGTCATCATATAATATATGTTATAATTAAATAATTTAATAATTTTCTAATTATATAAGATTGCTATAAATAAATAATTTAATAATTTTTTAACTTTTTTAAATTAGTTAACTGTGTTTTATATTAAAAATCAGAGATAGTAACAATTTAAAATTTTAACATTTCACTAAGTTTATAACAATTTAATTCTTATTATATTTAGTACTAAATTTTTTCCGAACTAATTTATTTTACTTACATGTTGATATATACTCTAATGATCTATATAAGTATCTTAAAGGAATCACGTAACATATATTATAGTTAGATAATTTAATGATATCTTTAATTAACTTATATATAACATGATATATTTAAAAAATAAAATAAAATAAATAAATTAATACATACAATTCTTACTATAAAACACAGTTATCTAATTTAAGAAGATTAAAAAAATTATTAAATTATTTAATTATAATATATTTTATATGATTAAGAAAATTATTAAATTATAACATATATTACATGTATTTTTAGTAATATTTTTAATTTTTTAAATTAGCTGGTTGGGTTCTATATTAAGGATTGTATGTATTAATCAATTCATTTAATTTTAGTTTTTAAATATATCATACTATATATAAATTAAGATTATAATAATTTGTGACGTGTGTGCATGTGTATAAGGGAGAATGAGGGAAAAAGTGAGGGTGGGGAAGGAAAATGTTCGAGGAGAGTGAGATGAGGTGCAGAGAGGGTCAATCCATAGGGAGCAGGCGGCAGGCTATCCCTGCCACCATTTTTACCAAAAAAAAATTATTTTAAACAAAATGAAGCTGCAGAACTCGTTCTTCTGTGTATTTTTTAAAATCGCACGTACCTTGAACGATTTTGAATGTAATACGCTAGGAAATAATTTTTATAGTGTAGTATCCTGATAATTAATATTACTGTTGATAGCATTTGGCTCAAAAAGCTCTTAAAAAAATAATAAATATAAAAATAAAAATAAACTAATGTCATACAGTTTAAATGCAAAATTTGATTGCCTCGGTGTAGATGCCTTGTAACAGGCCTGACTTCTTCTTTTCATACTAATTTTTGTATTTAAGTATAAAGGAGTAATTTTCGGTAATTTGTCCTCTTTTTGATTTCATCTTTTCAATTTGATTATGTGAACTGAAATTATGTTCTTTTGTCATATTGTGAGTTGGCAAGTTGAAATTGAATGCCTCGGTGTAGATGCTTTGTAGTATAGGTTTGGCATCCAAGAAAATTAATTTTAACTGACTTTTCATTGCGGCACATAAATTAGTCTCGTAATAAGAATAAGATGGAGTATCAATTAGTTTAAAGTTAGAGATTAGGAGTTTAACAACCGATTTAAATATGAATAGGTTTTAAATAAAAGGTGTTTCCCGCTTCCGCCAACGGAGTCAATGGGCCAATCAGACAAGAATCTTGTGCTTTCGGCGCTCGTCATTATGCTTAGCATGGAATTTTCTCGTCCACCGCTCTGATTAAGCACTCTGTCATACAGCTGGACTACACAATGCACACGGTAATTATCTCAGACTCACTCTTCCCCCAAAGTCGTCCTTCATCATCACATTCCTATTCTGTGGACTCGACTCAACTACTGCTTCTCACCGGGGTCAGCTGTCCGCGACGCTTCAATCCTCAACTTGAAATAGCATTCAGTAATTTGTCTCTTAATTTCCTCTGCTTTTCCATTTGATTATTATCATGTGACCTCATTTTCATCTTCCTTTGTTTGTTACTTCTGCTTCTGCCTTTCTACGATTGTTCATTCTCTACTTGGACAGATTCAAGGTTGGTCCATCTCTGAAGCTTCTCTGTGCACAATAATCTTCATCCCTTCATTACGTTGCTCGATCAAATTGCATGCATATTAAGGAAAGGTAGATAATTTTGTATGTGCGGGAAAAGTAGATTAGATTTATTGGCGAAAATTCAAGCCCCGAACTGTGGAACTGTATATGTGACTTCAATTTCAATTATTATCACTTTGGTTCAGTCTCTGTATATATTGCATATGCAGGAACAGTAATAATGAAAAAGGTAGGTGGTGGAAGGCCAAAGGATGATGATGTGCGGGGACACGTTGAGGTATTGGAGGAAGGACGAAGATGGAAGTGTAAATATTGTGAACGGGAATTCGCAGGAGGTGCTAGCAGAATCAGATCTCATATTTATGGAGAAAAAGGCGGAGGCATTCGAGTCTGTGCAAAATTTGTTTCAGACAAAGGAAACTCCAATGATCTCAGAGACAACCTCCAACATTGTCAACAAGGAGGTTACGTGATTATATATTATTATGCTCCCTCCTATCTTTTTTATAAGTCATGCAGAGGGGATTTTTTTCTTTTTCTTTTTTTGCCAGCTTTTTTTTAAAGATATCATCTGTGATATTCATTACATTTCTCCCACATTGCCGTTATTTAGTGTTGACCTAATTGTTTGGAGTTACGCTATATATACTATAGGTTTAAATGAAGATAAAATTAATTAGATGCTCCTTTACTTTTCAGACGGAGGTGAAGAGTTTTAGATTTTAACTCTTCCCTTAGTTCTGGTAAATTTTTTTACAGGTCATGCTCAGGGAATTTTATTTCATTTTATTTATTCTTTTTCCTTAATAGATCATAGCATGTCGAACGAACCAGGACAAATCCAAGCTGAAGCTAACTATCAGGAAAGGATTCAAGTTGGGTCATCTTCTGTTTCCGATAGGGAGAATAAAGACCTGCAGTTGATGCGATATGTGTTTGAATGCTTAAGGTTAGATTCATACTTCCCACTATGTTTATATGCTTCTAATATCTAATTCTATTTTTTGATAAGTATATCATTTTAATTAATTCTTCAGTCCTGAAGATAAGGTTTTTGGTTCCCCACTTTCATATTTGACTCAACAAGAATTTGCCACGCTTGGACCAGGGGCTTTTTTGGATTCATTGGTGAGTATTTATTTATTATATTGTTATATTCTATTTTAATATTAATGAAAATGTTTTTAGTTACACTAATAATATTGATTTTCATGCATCCTTAGGTAATAGATATTTTTGCAGAGATGTTAACGCATATTGAGCGAAAGAAGAAAATTACACCTTCAAATTGGTATCTTCCTGTGACATTTTCGGTGATTTCCTATTCCCTTCTTCGTTACGTGATGCATGTCAATAGTTGTTTAATCTAAAACTAGTTCATTGACTATAACTCTTAACGGTTCGTCCGTAATGTAATCATAGGAGGCAGCACTCAAAGGCAGCATAGGTCACTTTTTGGACTTCGTCCATCGGCAAAAAATAAGAGAAAATTATATGTCTGACCTGGATTCCTGTGAGAAGGTATGTCAGTCTTTTCAACTCTTTATAGAAAAGTTTCTTTATCAACCTGATTACCTTTTTTTCCCCCCTACCGTGTGTCAATTTGACTTTTGTCATTACCAATAATAGGTGTTTATTCCTGTTCACATTGGAGCAAAGTCAAATGGTGGACATTTTTATTTATACATTATCCATGTGAAGAATGAAGAGATTGAAATATGGGATTCTCTGCTCGGTACATGTGTGGCTGAAACAGATCGCAATGAGAATACAAGAAAATTGGTGAGTGTTAGATAACTGTAATATTGACAACATTAATCGATCAATTATTCTTTTGATTCTATGGAATTCATGCTTTATGTATCTAGTTGCTTGCCATGGAAAAACTCTTCGCAAATGTAGCATTTACGGAATTTCGTTCGAAGATGGAAACTGACATTCTCCTACAGCCCAATGGGTGAGTGGACGATTATTATGTAAAATTATACAAACTTTACTAGAAATTTTTTTTTATCATGACCTTATCATATATATCTTTTAATTTGTAGATGTGACTGCGGTATCTTTATTATGAAGTTCATGGAACAATCAGATAATTATGTGAAGAGAAATCCTTCATTTCAGGTATGACCTCTTGCAAACATATAGTCATAGACTTATTGGTAAGCACTCACACGTAGTTCACGAGAACGCAAGCGCTCTCTTTTAGTCATATAAATGATACGAACAACTATGTAGTTTGAGAGTGAAAAAGAAAGGGAGGATTTGGCTTTGAAGTTGCTCAACAGTGGCCTGAACCAAGAAAAACAAAATCTATATGACAAAGCAAGACGTCATTATGCACAAGTTGAAAAGCAAGAAGGCAATAAAAGATTACGAGTTGACGGAGCCAATGGACATGATCCTTTAGAAAAAGGTACGAGTGTCAGCATATAAAATATATGTCCAACTCATTTTAAATGTCATTTATGAAAATTTATTAAAATTATTTGAAGTTTTTTAGACTTTTCAAATTTTTCATAGCTTTTTTTTGGCCAAAAAAGTCGTCATAACTTCCAAATATTACTCCCATTGAATTATGACCCTCTCTTATATATTTCTCTTAGCAACTTTCTCCAAAACTTTTTTGATTATTTAATGAGGGACAAGTGCGGAAAAATATTGAATGCTGCCTAAATTTCACGGTGGCTCTACATTTTGAATTCTTGAGAGTATATGTATGACTGGTTAAAATTTAAAAGCCATATCTTTAATTTATTTTTTTATGCTTCTCACTATCTTTACTTAATTATTTGTTACTATTCTTGTCGCTGGAATCTTCCAAAGGTTATATATTGCCTACAACAGATTTAATAGGGGAGTTTCAAAAGTATACTCAACAAATATGGGAATGGATAATGGGTGATGAGGTGTCAGCAATTGGAGTTTGGGGAATAGGAGGCTCAGGAAAAACAGCCTTAGCAGCCCATATTCATGACAAGCTTTTAGAAGAAGCCAATGGTGACATTAAAGTTATTTGGTTGACCGTATCACAAAATATCAACATCTACAAGTTGCAAAAAGTCATAGCTAAATCAATTAAGTTGGATATATCTGATGAGTTTGAGGTTAAAAGAATTGCCAGAAAATTATTTCAAGCATTCAAAGAGATGAAGAAGTGTGTTATTGTTTTAGATGATGTTTGGGATCATTTCTTTCTTAAGGACGTTGGATTTCCTATGTCAGATAATCAAATTAAATTGATTTTGACCACTCGTATAAAGGAAGTGTGTCGAGGCATGGATTGTGAGAGAATAATAGAAGTGCAATCTCTATCTAAACAAGATGATTGGGTTTTGTTTGAAAAGCTTTTGGGATCCCATAAAAAATTGTCTTTGGAAGTGGAAAACATTGCACGGGAAGTGGCACAAAAATGTGAGGGTTTTCCCCTAGCTATTGTTAGAATCGCAGCAAGCATGAAGGGGAAAACACAGGTTAGAGAATGGAGTCATATGTTGGAATGTCTTGAAAACTTGGGCAATGGGCAATATGAAGTAGACAAATGGGTATTTCCAGTTTTGAGATCTAGCTATGATTTCTTAACTAACAAATTGCAAAGATTCTTCTTGTATTGCATCTTAAGTTCCAAGGCATCTGATATTCCATCTTGGAGTTATTTGTTAGTCAATCGCGATGTTGAGCATTGCATAAGAAGGTTTGCTTATGAAAGCATTGATGAGACAAAGAAGTTGAGGTTGCAGTATGACGAAGGTTACCACATGTTGCATAAATTAAAAGATGATAGCATGTTGAATTATGATTACCGTGCATCGATGATAAACAAATTTCTTAGAGTGCTGGCGGTTGGTATTGCAGAAGACACTGGTAAAATTATGGGAAAAGCTTATAAGAATTTGACAGTAATACCAAGCGATGACCAATGGAAAGAAGATCTACAACAAGTTTTTCTAACGGGAAACGAGATACAAACAATTCCAGGTGGCACATGTCCTAAGTGTACTCAACTTTCGACGTTGCTTTTGAATTGTAATAAAAAACTCAACCACATCACGGATGAGTTTTTCAACAACATGCCTACTCTTAAAATACTTGATTTGTCTGGGACTGCAATCCAGCGCTTGCCCGAATCAGTATCCAACTTAAAATGTCTCATTGCATTGTTACTTTCAGATTGTAAGCAATTGAGGTACATTCCTTCATTAGGAAAATTGAAACGGTTAATATCACTGGATCTATCTTGGACTGCCATCGCTGAGGCACCTGTGGGTTTGAAATCATTGGTCAATCTTAGACGCCTGAATCTACTCGGGACTGATAAGTTGGTGATATCACTATCGGTCATATCCAAATTGATCAATTTAGAGTGTCTTAAGTTGGGTGGGCTCCAATGGGTAAGAGATGCATTAGTACCAAGTGCACAAGGTTTGGAAAAGTTGGAAGTTATACGTGCAAGCTTTCGTGACATCAGCATCTTCAATACCTTCGTGAGGGTCATGGCCGAAAATCGTGAAATCAAAAGCTATCGATTAATTTTATACCATGGAATTTATAATTTCAGTGGTGATGATTATGATAATGGTGATGATGATGAGAAAATAAACACAGAATATTCTATGAAAAAGATAATTCTTAATGGTACGAATTTCGAAATTAGAGAAGCAGTAGTACTCCCAACAGACATCAAGAAGTTGTTTATAATAGCATGTTTCCTAGGGACAGGTGGTAGATCCCTATGCAATATTTTATCATATGCCCACAACAATAATCCACCCCAAATTGAGCTGTTGGAGATTAAATCATGTAAAGATGCGGAGTACTTGTGTTGTTGCGGTTGCCCCTTTTGCTTCTCTTCCCAACTCGTTGGACGTCTAATCCTCCGGGAAATGAACAACTTGAAAGATTTGGTGTCACCATCTGCTGATTTCTTGCATCAATTCACCCTATTTTCTCATCTGTCACATCTCGAAATTGAGGAATGTAACAGCATGAATACTCTGATGCCGTTTAACTTATTTGCACTCCTCCAAAACCTGCACACCATTTGCGTTGTAGGTTGTGAGAACATGAAAGAAATAGTTGGAGAGGATCATTCTGTAATGGAACTTACTGCTAGTGGGGCCCTCTCTCACCCTACTATCACTCTTCCCAACTTGACATCTCTGAAATTAGACAAAATGCCAGAATTAGATGTCGTATACAAAGGTATCATGCTCTGCCCTTCTCTCCAAACATTCAAAGCTTGTCATTGCGAGAAACTAAATCCCCCTCGGATAGCGATCTCAAATAATGGAAGTGTGCTTCTGATGAAGAAGACCTTATCGGAAAATTACAGTTGGCAAAAGTGATTAATCAGGTCCGTATCCGCCCCACTCTGACTTACTTTTATACTATGTTTATGATGAATATCGTTACTGCTTGTGTTTATTTCTCCTCGTGCTTCAAATAATCATTCATATGTTTCCTTTTGTCTTCTTTATTTCTCTCCATCTGCCCGCGTTGTACTTGATTTTTGTGATCATCACTAACCTTGCACTCTTATATCAGTCTCTGAATGCCTGCCAATAAGGACAATTAATGTTCCAATAATTGGCATTTTGTTTGTTATAAATTACTACATTGAATATCATAAATAAATTCTCAATAAAAGGAAGCCAATTTGTAGGATATATAACCTCATCATCTCTTTTTTCTTTTCTTTTTTTCATTTGAATGTTCGAAGTGTGCACCAGCGCTACTACTCAGTCCGGGATATTAGTCATTGTGAATATATCTCATCTCCCAAGTTGCTCATGATATTTTCAATTATTCACCCACTGAAATATAGTTGCAAAGTTGTTTGTGGCATGTGTCTCAATTATCCTCATTCCTTTTGTAGTGTCATATGCAGGATACAGTTTTTGCTGCGTGAGACGCTGAAAGTGATTAGTTAAGCCATCATTTAAGAACTGCTTTTGATTCTATATTTATATTGTCTTCTTCTATGTTTGTTCAACTACACTATTTTAATCGGTACATTTATGATGAAACTAAGTTTGTAATGCAACTACTTGCTTGTTTTAACTAAACTATTTGTTGGAAGAATGACAGGAACACTTATTCAAGGGAATTATTTATATTGAACTCAAGACGAATTACATAGGCAAATTTACATATAAACTCTGAATATGGGACTTGTTTATGAATAAAACCTTGCAAATTTTACTAAAATACTTCCAATTATCTTAAAATTGGTTGTCTTCAGTTTCTACTTGTGGGGCAACATTTTCGAGAGTGACTTGTTTCTATTTATAAGACAAATAAGAAAAATTGAGAATTATTTAGTTTTTTTTTTATTATTAGTGACCTGAGAGAGAAAATGTGGCTCATTATAAAGGTTCACATATCATAATTACAATGATTCCGTCTTTTTCTAATTTATCTCTTTACAAATTAACATAGCTCGATCTAATAGGTAATATCATCATTTTTATCATTTTAGAGACAGTAATTTATTTTTTTTATTTTTTTTATTATGTACTGTAATATTTGAAATGAAACCATTTATCAATTCTCCTTTAGTTGTCAACGTTTTTGTTTAACTGAAATCATTATAATTTTATATGCATTAGATTGTACATATTTTCAACATTTAAAATATAAGTATTCCAATGACAAATAAAAATTGATTGCAAACTTTTAAAATTTTTGAGTCACAAATTTAAGTATATGCACACGGAATATCTATTCTTCAAGATATTACATCTATTTCGCCATCATGAATCAAAAAGCTAACTTTGGGGAAAAATCATATCGTACCTGTAGTTGAATTATTTTCAAAATTAATGTTTAAAATTTAATCAAACTTGATGGGGGAAAAATCGAAAGATGCCATGTGAATGGCAACAGAGGAAAATAACAGAATTCACCTCTTTTGAGAATAATGTTGTGACAAGAACTGACGATTAATTATAATTATAAATGGATAAATAAACAGTAGTGTTTTATGTAAATAATATGCTTTATATAAAATTGGGAAACAGGCATAAGAATATCCAAATTACTATTTAAGAAAAACAGGCACACATCAGTACTCCAAGTGTGACTCTGTTTCTAGCAGGCCTGCATTATCTTCACTTTATATAGTAAACCAAATTATTTAATCCAACATAAGTCAAAATGAAGACGACAAATCAATCAGACATCGAAAGGCAATATTGGGTTTTTATCAATTTCTATTTTAGTAGCTGTCGGCACCATGAGAGACAAAGATCTTTCTTCTTATCGCATGTTAAATGATTTCTACAGTGTACATATATATTGCCATTGCTTGCTTGTGAAGTAGCAGAGAGTTAAGTTTGTGAATTAAAGGAAGAGAGATCTGGGATTGCAGCAGAGAGAGAGACAGAGAAGGGAGATGGAACGAAGTAAAGGTGGTGAAGTGAGAAGAATTCATGTGGTGTACTTCCTCAGTTTGATGGGTCGTTGTGAAGAACCACATCTCATACGTATTCATCATCTGGCTCGTAACGGAGTCTATCTTCGAGGTGGCTTCATTTTCCTGTTTTCTTTCACCACATATTTGTTAGACTTAAGAAAGTTGCTCTAACTTTTGACCTCTGTAGTTGGTACTTTGTTTCTCACTTGCACATGTCATAATTTGTTGATTCTCACCTCTAATGTTGTATGCTTCTCTCTTCTGTCTTTTAATACGCTGTTTCTTTAAGGTTTTAGAGTTGTCTTTAAAACATGAAAAACCACACTATTAAGTGTTTTTTTTCGTACGTAAAGATTTAGTTAAAACAGAGATAGCAATGGCATGAATTACGGTTGTGCTTTTTGAGATGGTGGGTTTACAAATTACAAGCCCCTTTGTCTTTGTGTGTAGTGCCCTATTCTTGCTTTTAGAGGTCATGATTTATGAACTTTGTTATGTGATAAAAGATGTGAAGAGATGGATTGGAGAAGTGAGAGGGAAGGATTTGACAGAGACATATGCTTGGTCCTACAAGAGGTAGAATGATGGCATCTTTATACTCAGTTTTTTTATTTGTTTGAATGAGTTGAAGTGTGTCATTTGCGGATTCAAATTTTAAGCAAGAGATACAAGACAGGATACGTGTGGCAAGACTTGTTGGATGATGATCTCATCACTCCAATCTCTGATAATGAATACGTCCTTAAAGGATCTCAAACCCACCCTCCCTCTTTTGGCATGTCCTTCAAATGAAATAATGGAGTGTTGTCATTTGGTAATAAATTTCAAAATGAGTTATGTAGGTGTTTGTTGAGAAGCCTCTTTGATTACGCAGAAACTTTTATATTTGGTGAAAGGAAAGCTTCCATGTTGAACAAGGAGATTCATGTTCAAGTACATGATGGAGAGGGCAAGCAGTTGAAGCAGAAGCAACCATTGATACCGGAAGAACTTCAACTTGAAAGATTTCCATATTTCAAACCAAATTCTCAGGATCAGCTATCATCAGAAATAAGCTCTGATAGGTCCACATTACCGGATGAAAGTGAATCTTGTAAGGTTGAACCAGACAGACTTGTGGACACAGGCAAACAAGACCTAGAGACATCATTTTCAATTTCATTATCATCATCTTCTTCTTCTTCATCATTATCTCCCTTGACAGGAAGTAAGAGATTTTCAATAGGAGCTTTTGGTTTGTTTCGCAACTTGATCACCTGTGGAGCCTTAGATCCAAACGACGATGTTGTGGTCAGGCTGAACCAAGCTCATAAAACTGTTTCTAAGAACTCTAACACCCTCGATGATGGTAATGTTAATGCACAGATTCGCAAACATGATAGATTTGGAGGATCAGCTAGGAATCTTGGAAGTTGTTGGAATCCCCAACAGGAGCATCATGAAGTCAGGTAAGTAAATGAGAAATTGGGCCCAGAATATTTCAAGCTACAAATTATGACAAAAATCGAAGTTTTTCTTCGTAACATGAGCTTTCATATTTGCAGAAAAAGCTGTGATGAGAAGAGCACAAACAAGAACAAGAAGAAGCTAGGCGAGTTTCTGAACCAGATTTCTCACAAACCATTTGGAGGGTCAATTTTCTCTAGATGAGAGGAAGCAGAAAATACAAGAAAATACGTTGTAGGGAAGAAAAACAGCGCATGTTTGGAACCAAAAAGCCCATCAGGGTGAAAGATCCATTTTGTTGGACTATTCTATACAGATTGCAAGTTCCGTGTAGTCATGCAAGTTGGAAAAAAAAAGTCAAAATGATAATTCTTTTTTACTTCATCAGATTCCACGAGCAGTATCCAAATTAATGATTTATTTCACGTTATATGTTACTTGTTAATTAAACTAAATTGAGAATTTCAATCTATCTTCGACCTCTACTTTTGATTTGTAGCTACAATTCTTCTGCCCGCCACCAATTTTGGGGCTGGCCTTTTTAAAAGAAGTTAAAATTAAATTCCAGTCATAATCTAAAATTTCATAACCTATATTAATTAATTCAGCCTTTAAAAATCATATTATATACTATACTTGTAGTCTTGTGGTCAAACCTTTTTTTTAAAAAAAGGAATTCATTCTTCATCACCATGATAGCGTTGAAGCTTAAGCTGCCCTCCTCGACTTTTCGTAGTGTGAATTATGCAGAACTAATGGCTGCTTCTATATTCAGAACATTGATTCATCTCCTATCATCATTTACCATTAATGTTTTTTAACATAACAGGAAAATTTTATATACCAAATAAAAAAAATATTACCTCTGGTCCTTAATATAAGAGCTAGTTGATTAATTTGAATACATTAAGAAATTTTATTAAGTTAGTTATTTCTAATAAATAGGTATTATTTTTCTTAAAATATCCTTACTAATCATGTATATTAACTAAAACTACCATTTGATGAAATATTCGATATGTGTAACTGTTATAAGAACTAGTTTGAAGAAAAATAAATAAATATGAGAGACAAAATATATTAGATTCTTATATTTATGATCAAATTAAAAGTCAAACTAGATCTTATATTAAAAATCGAAAGTAGTATTACAATACAAAGTGTATATAGGGACGAACATAAGAAGAAGATAAGTTCATAAATTGAGGTTTGATTAGTCTTTTATTCATCTCCAACTGAAGACAATTTGCCATTAATTCTTTGATGAGTCTTTTGAATTTGTATTTACATTACAGACAAAGGTGCCAGTGCCACAGCTTTTTTTGTTTGGTTGCATTTGGAGCTGCTATGGTCTTCCCCCCCTATGTTTTTGATTAACAATAAAATGAGCAAAATATTTTAAGGTTATCATATTTTGACACTAATATTAAATTGTAAATTAACATAAATTGCGTGGTGAGTATCTGTAAGAGATAGTACAGGGAAAAAAAAACTTAAGTGGTAGGAAACTGAATTAAATTGATTTTGACTACCCGTATAAGGGAAGTGTGTCAAGGTATAAGTTGTAAGAAGGTGATAAAACTAGAGCCTCTAAATGAGAAAGATAGTTGGGCTTTGTTTGATGAGTTTTTTGGGATTATTCCATGAAGAACTATCTTCAGAAGTGAAAAACATTGCACAGAATATGGCACAAAAATGTGAGGGTTTGCCCATAGCTATTGTTATAATCGCAACAAGCATGAAGGGGAAAACGGAAACTGGAGAATGGAGACATATGTTGGAATGGAGAATATGAAATGGATAAATGGGTATTTCCAATTTTGAGATCCAGCTATGATTTCTTAAATAACAAATTACAAAGATTCTTCTTGCATTGTGCCTTAAGTACCAGCAGAAATTTTTCTAATTACACTGTTGATCATTTGATAAGAAGGTTTGTTTATGAAAGCATTGACAAGACAGAAAAGTTGAGGGTGCAATACAATGAAGGTCTCAACATGTTTGGCAAATTAAAGAATCATAGCGTGTTGGATTATGATGGTGAATGGATGATAAACGAATTTCTTAGACTCCTAGCTATTGGTATTGCGGACGACACTTGTAAAATTATGGGAAAAGCTCATAAGAATTTGACAGAAATACCAAGTGATGACCAATGAAAAGAAAATCTAGAAAAAGTTTTTCCGACGGGGAATAAGATACAAACAATTCCAGATGGCACATGTCCTAGGTGTTTTCAGCTTTTTACATTGCTTTTGAATTACAATGCAAAACTCAATTAACTGCATCTCAGATGATTTTTTCAGCCACAAGCCTACTTTTAAAACACTTGATTTGTCTGAGACTGCGATCAAGCATTTGCCTAAGTCGATGTCAAACTTAAAATGTCTCATTGCATTACTACTCTCAGGATGTACAAAATTGAGTTACATTCCTTCATTAATAAACTTGAAACGGTTAATGTCATTGGATCTGTGTTCTGCTGCTATCACTGAAGCACCTGTTGGCTTCGAATCATTGGTCAATCTTAGATACCTGAATCTGTTCCCTACAGATAAGCTGGCAATGTCAATATCGCTCATATCCAAATTGATCAACTTAGAGCATCTTGAGCTGGGTGGTCCCCTATACAAAACGGATGTGACAGCACAAGGCACACAAGGTTTGGAAAAGTTGGAACTTGTACTCGCCACCTTCCATGACATTAATGTCTTCGATAGCTTTGTGAGCCTCCTAGCCAAAAGTCATGTACTCGAAAGTTATCGTTTAACTTTGCAACATAAACGTATTTGTTTCGAAGATGACGGGATAATAACTCAAAGTTCTGCGAAGAAGATAATTTTTAGGGCTTTGGATTTGAGAAACAGAGTAGTACTCGCAGGAGACATCAAGCAGTTGGGTATACAGAATTGCTGCCGCCGGACAGGTGCTAGGTCCCTTTGCAGTGTTTTATCATTTGGCCTCAGCAATAATCCACGCCAAATTGAACAGTTGGATGTCTGGTATTATGCAAATGTGGATTACTTGTGTTGTAGCACTTGCCCCTTTTGCTCCTCTTCCCAACTCGTTGGACGTCTATGCCTCCATGAAATGAAGGATTTGAAAAATTTGATGTCACCATTTGCTGATTCCTTGCATGAAGCCACCCTATTTTCTCAACTCACAAGTCTTTCGATTGCGCATTACAACAGCATGGAGACTCTGATCGCGTTCAAGTTACTAGCACTCCTCCGAAACCTGCGCTACATTTTCGTTTCTTCTTGTGAGAAGATGAGAGAAATAGTTGGAGAAAACCATTCTGTAATGGAACCTACTTCAATTGTTGACCTCATGGGCCTTCTGCATGACAACTTTTCTCACCCTACATTGAACTTCCCATGTTGACATCTCTAACATTATGGCACATGCCACAATTAGATTTCGTATACAGAGGCATCATGCTCTGCCCTTCTCTCCGGAGATTCTTTGCTGATGACTGCAGGGAACTAATTCATCCTCAGATAGCGATCTCAAATAATGGATGTGAGCTTTCAATGGACATGACCTCAATTGGATACCAATGGCAAAAGTGATTAATCAGGTCCATGTATTTATTCCTCCTCATGCTTCAAATATACTTCAAGAGCTTCTCCTCTTTAATGACAAAAAGTAAAATTAATTTATATGTGAGAGCCAAATAATCATATGTTCCTTTTTGTCTTGTTTATTTCTCTCTGTCTACTTGTGATCGCCGACCTTGGACGCTTGTCAGTTTTTGAATGCCTACCAATAAAAATAATTAATGTTCCAATAATTTAAATTTTGTTTATTCTAAATTACAACAAATATCATAAATAAATCTCTACAAAGGGAAGCCAATTTGTTGGATATATGACTTGATCATCTCTTTATGCCTTTTATTTGAATGTTCAAAGTGTGAATATACCGTATCTCCTGAGTTCCGCATGATATTGTCAATTATTCTGTCACTTGCAAGGCAGAGCAGCCAGGTTATTTGTACCATGCATTTCAATTACAGGGCCATATATTCGCAATTCTAATCCCTTTTTATTGGAAGAATGACACCATAACTTATTCTATAAATTTGTCTTAAATGCAATTTTTTTTCCTGGTATAAAAAAGTTTAGATGTTGAGAGCGCTTATAGATTTGAACTCACAATCTTACAAGTGATAAGCTGATTTTTTATCAACTAAATCAACTTTTATTGACAATGCCTTAAGGCATTTGGCTGAAAGTCAAATTATAATTTAAAAAATAATTTTATAATATATGAAATAAGTATAAAAGATGAGTTTTGTCTGAAGTATTTTTTTATATGCTTTTACTTGGTACCAAACAGTCGACAAGTCATTGCCCCTCTGCCATGCGCTTCTGCTTTCCTCTTAGGCCCGAAGTAGCCAGCCCACCAGTGCCCTTTCACATTTTATGCCTCTTATTTGAATGTTCAAAGTGTGCAGTACTACACAATTCAGGGTGTCAATCAGTGTGAATGTACCGCATCTCCTAAGTTCCGAATGATATTGTCAATTATTCTGTCACTTGAAAGGCAGAGCAGCCAGGTTATTTGTAGCATGCATTTCAATTACAGGGCCATATATTCACAGTTCTAACCCCTTTTTATTGGAAGAATGACACCATAACTTATTCTATGAATATGTCTTAAATGTATTTATTTTTATATGCACCAGTGTAGGCATTACGTTGTTTGCGTAATATAGTGCACAATCCGGGTTACTCCAAAAATTTGTCGCTTTGGAGTTACTTCAAAAATTAACGGAATTAATGCAATATAGTGCACAATCCGGGTTGTATTCACTTTGAGAAGCCGAAAACGAAATTAAATCCTAGTAAATAAATGCAAGTAACCTAAACTATAAAAAGAATTTTTTATTTTTGAAAAATTGCTAACTAAATGCCTTGAATTAAATTGAAATTAAAATACTTTTTTTTGTTATTTTTATATAAAAATGATTGAAATAAATTGAAGATGAAAGAACTGAAATGAAACACACAAATAACAATGATAATAATCAATCCTCCAATTTAACAACGCAGGCAATCATCACTCTAAAAGATGTGGGAGTTAAAAACAATGAATTAAGAATTATAATTAAGCTTTTAATCCAACAATCGAGCCACCTCAAATTGCTACAAAATATTTTCCTAAAATCCCAACTTACTAACTGCAACCAGAATAATAAAATGGGATTAAGGATATTAAAAACCAATGCTTAATTAGAACTCTTAAATCCAAAACAACAGAATTATAGCTAGTAAGAGACAATATGATTCAAAATTCCAAGCCACCTTAGAAAATCACAATATGTTAACTCCAAAATCAATATGGATGTCATAACCACAACATCATAATTGAAATCAAAGCTATAAACAGCCCAACGTCAAATGCTAAACAATAATCCAGTCACAATAATCCCTAAATATAATCAGATTAAGCAATATAATTATTCTAATAATCAGAAAAACTATTCTAAGACCTAGGAATTGTTAAACAATTATTGAATAGGAAATTAAAGCAACTAAAACTCCCCTTTGATGATTCGAGCTCCTGCCATTATTGTTGAATTAGAGGATTTCAGAGCTTTAGCCACGCATGGCCATGAAAAATACCACAACCAATGTTCTTTTGCGGTCTGCCATGGAAGATACGTGACGGAACAGTGCAAAAGATTATTAAGGATGACACCGTGAGCCTCTGTTTTGCTGTTTCACTCCTTCTGGTTCACTGGTTCGTCGAGCTCGTGCCGCCCCTGTTCTGCTCGCGTCTCAGTTCAAGCTCCTGTCTCTCTGTTCTGTTTTCTTTTTATTTTCTCCTTCGCCGCCGCCCAGCTCGCTTGCGTCTCCGTCCAGCTCGCTTGCGTCTCCGTTTTTCCCTGATGATGAATGTAATATTAGATATTAGGGGTGGAGCAAAACGCAGCGTTTTGCTCCCCCTTTTATTATTTTATTTTATTTTATTTTATTTTTTTTTATTTTCAACTTCCAAAAACCTGCAAGCAAAAATTCAAAAATAAGGTAGCATTAATTGTCCTCAAAAATCAATTAGTCACAATTAAACCAAAATATGACAATTTTGCCCCTATAAAATAATAATTCAAAGTAAAAATATTAAATCAATTAAGGCAAAAAGGGATCAATTAAGCTGACAAAATTCATATAAAAAATACCAAAATATATAAAAATAATTGAGTTTGTCAATGTCAATTAGTGTGAATGTACCGCATCCGAATGATATTGTCAATTATTCTGTCACTTGAAAGGCAGAGCAGCCAGGTTATTTGTAGCATGCATTTCAATTACAGGGCCATATATTCGCAGTTCTAACCCCTTTTTATTGGAAGAATGACACCATAACTTATTATATGAATATGTCTTAAATGTATTTATTTTTATATGCACCAGTGTAGGCATTACGTTGTTGCGTAATAAAAACGTTATTATATGTGTGTGTTACACACACTACAATAGAATGCCATAACTAATTCCTTTTTTTTTTTTGCTGGTATAAAAAAGTTTAGATGCTGAGAGAGCTTATAGATTCAAACTCATAATTTTATGAGTGATAAGTTATTTTTTATCAACTAAATCAATTCTTATTGACAATACCTTAATTAGATATTTGGATCAAAATCAAATCATAATTTTAAAAATAATTTTATAACATATAAAATAAGTATAAGAGAGGAGTTTTGTCTAAAGTATTTTTTGTTTGCTTTTACTTGGTACCAAACAGTCAATAAGTCCGGTCAAAAAAAAAAAACAGTCAATAAGTCATTACACCTCTGCCATGCCCTTCTGCTTGCCTCTTAAGCCCGAAGTAGCTAGCCCACCAGTGCCCTCTTCCCAGCCCAAGCCCACGTTAACATTAAGTTGTTTCATAATAGCTCACTAGTTTAATAATATCACACTCAGCGCATTAAAAAAAAAAAAATTATCATGAGATTCTAAAAGAGAAATTTAATTATCAAAAAATTTTAGTGACAAATGATAAGCTTGAACCTATTATTATTTTCTATTTTAAAATTTAGCATTACATGCTCTTCAATTGTCAACAAGTTTCAGGGCAATTAAAACCTTTTCTCTGGGTGCCTGATTGTAATTCCCGATAGGAAAAATAGAAGCACTTTGGTTTCATAATATTGATTGACATTGTAATAGGCCTCACATGCAGATTGCAGGGGAACATTGTAGGCTGTTTCGGCATTATCGAACGGCGCCGAATAAATTAAATAGACATTATTCTTATTTCTTATTTAGCGTAGAGAAGACGACATATTCAACAAGCAATTTATTTATTTGCGGTCAAATTGGCCGACGATACAATTACATGGAAAGACAAGGATGTATAAAAAATGAAAAGAAAAATATAAATACATCCAAGATAAAAGAGTTGTTTATAAATAAGCCGGGGAAATTCGCTAAAGTATAGTAAAGTCTCTTTTCCTCTTAAACAGGTGAAAGACAAAAGGGTCAAAGTGCATCCAATATCTAGAAGTCTTTGTGGAAGTCATTCAATACCTCAAAATATTTGTAGTGTACCTAACATCTTGAAATGTTTTTGGATGCATTTAGGACCGTAGAGCTTTTTTTCTTTTTGCTTTGGTGCCGAATGCACTAAAAAATATTTTTCAGAGTTGGACGCATTTAAAACAAATATTTTAGAGTATTGAATGCATACAAAAAAAACCTTTAAGGAGCTGGACATACTTAAAAAATTATTTCAAGGTACTGGATATACTATAAAATACTTTAAGGTGCTAGATATATTTGAGAAAATATTCTGGGATATTGAATGCACCTTAACCTAAGACAAAATTGCTGCTTAACATGTAAATCTGTAAAAACTCCCTTAGAATAATATATATACATATACTATTTTTCAAAGTTTACATTTATTATCCGTTGATTTATTTCTCATAAAATTTAAGAATCTATATGATAATTTGATTTGTTGGATCCCCACTTGTTCCTATTTAATGATTTTTCCCATTCCTTAATGATTTTACTATTACAAAATTTATTTAAGTAGGAGCAAATTTGAAAAGGAATATATTAAGACACAGATAATCAAGCTCCTCTATGTACATAATTTTGGCAACTAAATATATTATTATATCTAGGGATGGAGGGAATATATTGTTTGGTGACTTCTGATGAGGATGGAAGAGAGGAAAAATTCACAAAATAGGCATCTAGTTGCTACCTCGAAAAGGAAGTTAGGTACATGATGGCCATGCCCACACAAAAAAAAAGGAATGAAATGAAAAAGGGAAGTTGAATATAATAGTTTTTCTTCCGTTTTTCATCTCTGAGTTGCAATTTGTCTCCTTAGTGTTGCTCCCCAATTTGTTTAGGAAGGGGCCTTTATCTTTAGGGGCATCTGTACAAGCGGACTTGAATAGTCTTTGAGAAAACATCATTTAGATGTGACTCAGATTATATTAAAACTCTTATTTCCACAGATCTGCCCTTAAATTAGGAGAAAGAATCTTGCATTTAGTGAAAAAGAACAGGTTTTTGTTCTTATTGGCCCACTGATTAGTTGACATGCACCGGGCGGTAGCGGGGAACACTATATGGTGATTCTTAATTTGTCCATTTTCATTTATTAACGCGTTTTCTTCTGTGTTGAGGCATCAAGTCAGCAGCACTACTGCTTCTCACCAGAGTCCGTCCGCCACGCTTCGATCCTCAACTTGAAGTAGCATTCAGTAATTTTCTCTCTTTGCTCTGCTTTTCCATTTGATTATTATGTGACCCGATTTTCATCTTCGTTTTGTCACCATCTGAATCTGCCTTTGCACAGACTGTTCAAGATTGATCAATCTCTGAAGTTGCGTGGCGTGCAATAATCTTCACCCCTTCATGACTTGGCTCGATCTAATTGCATGCCTATTAAGAAAAGGTAAATGATTTTGTATGTGCAGGAAAAGTAGATTAAATTTACTAACGAAAATTCAAGCCCTAAACATATCAAAAAGTCATGCTCTGAAAAGCTACATTTCAAACTGTGGAACTGTATGTCTTCAAATTTCATTACTACTTTGGTTCAGCATATAGGAACGGTAATAATGGGAAAGGTAGGTGGAAGGCCAAGGGATGACGTGTGGCTACACGCTGAGCTATTGGAGGGAGGACGACGAGTGAAGTGCAAATATTGTGGCTGGGAATTTGCATCAAGTGCTAACAGAATTAAATCTCATATTAATAGAGACAAGGGCAAGGGCAAGGGCATTCGAGTCTGTCCAAATTTTGTTTCAGAGAAAGGAAGAAACTCCAATGATTTAAGAGACGACCTCCTGCAATCTCAACGAGGTATTCCGTCTATTTCATAACATAAGGCACTTCTAAAATACTAGTAATAGTTTGATTAAAAATATAAATCATTTTGGGACTAATTAATATTCGTCTGTCAATTTTATCTCTGGAATGAATACTTCAATGTAATTCGTTGCATTATTTTCCCCACAACCTTATTTGATATAGGTAAATTTTAAAAAAAAATTCAATTTGAGATAAATTTAATGCGTTAACTACTATTTTTTAATTATAAAAATTAGTTAAAATAATTTAATTATATATTATTATAAAAATAATTTAATTATATACTATTATACTCTCTCCTATCTTTTTAAATTCACACAGAGAGATTTTTTTTCCTTAACTTACGCTATATAGGTTTCAATGAAGAAAACATTAATTAGACACTCCTTTACATTTCAGACAGAGGTGAAGAGTTTTAAATCTTCCTTTAGTTCCGGTAATGTTTATCGTTTTTGTAGTAAGAAATCTCATTGGATGGTCTAAAGATTATAGCGTGTCCAACGAAGCAGGACAAATCCAAGCTGAAGCTAAGCATCAAGAAATGATTCAAGTTGGGTCATCTTCTATTTCCAGTAGAGAGAATGGAGACTTGCAGGTCATACAATATGTGTTTGAATATCTAAGGTTGGATTCGTACCTCCGTATGAATGTATTCTATTTTCGTTTTGCTTTTTGAATCACCCTAGTTCTGTTTTGTGATAAGTATATCGTTCTAATTCTTCAGTCCTGAAGATAAGGTTTTTATTTCTCCACTTTCATATTTGACTCAAGAAGAATTTGTCACACTTAAATCAGAGAATTTTTTGGATTCATTCGTGAGTATCTATTTATTATATTTTTATATTCTATTTCAATTTTAATGACCATGGTTTTAGTTATATTAATATTAAGCTCTATCCATTCTTAGGCAATAGATATTTTTGTGGAGATATTAACTGATATTGAGCGAAAGAAAAAAAAACTATACCTTTGAATTGGTATCTTCCTGTGACATTTTCGGTGATTTCCTATTCCCTTTTCTGTTATATGATGTATGCCAATAGTTTTTTTTTAATCTAAAACTAGTACATTGATAATTACTTTTAATGGTTCATCCATAACGTAATTATAGGATGCAGCACTCAAAGGCGGTATAGGTCACTTCTTGAACTTTGTCCATCACCAAAAAAAAAAAAAAAAAAGAAGAGAAAATTATATGTCTGACCTGGAATCCTGTGAGAAGGTATAATTTTCCAACTCTTTATAGAAAAGTTTCTTTGTCAGCATGATTGCTTTGTTTTCTTCTCGCCATGTCAATTTGACTTCTGTTATCACAAATGATAAGTGTTTATTCCTGTTCACATTGGAGCAAACCCAAATGGTGGACATTTTTATTTATACATTATCCATTTACAGAACGAAGAGACTGAAATATGGGATTCTCTACTCGATACATTTGTGACTGAAACAGAACACAATGAGACAATAAAAAAATTGGTGAGTGTTAGATAATTGGAATATTCAGAACATTAATCGATGATTGTTCTTTTGATTATATAGAATTTCTGCTTTATATCTAGTTGCTTGCCATGGAAAAACTCATCGTGAATGTAGCATTTACGAAATTTCGTTCCAAGATGGAAAACGCCATCCTCCCACAGCGCAATGGGTGAGTGGACCATTATTATGTAAAATTATATAAACCTTTCTAAAAAAGTTTTTACCATGACCTTATCATATTTGTATATTATAATTTGTAGATTTGACTGTGGTATCTTTGTTATGAAGTTCATGGAACAACCAGATAATTATGTGAAGAGAAATCCTTCATTTCTGGTATGCCTCTTACAAACATATAATCGTAGACTCATAGGTAAGCACTCACAAATGCCCGCACATAGTCCTACACCGGCACTCAAGTACTCTCTCTTACCCCGTGAAGTAAATGGAGGGGAAGATAAGAATGAGGAAATTTTAACGAGATCGATTTAAAAAAAAATTAAAGAAACAGGGTTTTAAAATTTTAAAAAAGAGAATATGTAAAATAAAAAAGTGCTAAGAATTAATTAAAGAGTTTTACCTCCATTTCGCCAATTTTTTAAATGGGTCTCATTAAAATTTTCTCTTTCTTTTCCTCCCCTCCATTTTCTTCATCCCAAACACACCCTTAGTCATATAAATGATACGGATGACTATGTAGTTTGACAGTGAAAAAGAAAAGGAGGATTTGGCTATGAAGTTGCTCAACAGTGACCTGAACCCAGAAAAACAAAATCTATATGACAAAGCAAGACGCCACTACGCACAAGTTGAAAAGCAAGATGGCAATAAAAGATTACGAGTTGCCAGAGTAAATAGACAAGATCGTTTAGAAGAAAGTATGAGTATCAGGATATAAAATTTATATCCAACTCCATTTGTTTGTCATTTATGAATTTGTTTTTAAACTTTTAAAATTTTGCATAACTTCTTTTTGGCCAAAAAAATTGTCATAACCTTAAAAAATTACTCTCATCAAATTGTAACCTTCTCTCATATTTTCCTCTTTGCCACTCTTTTCTCCATAACTTTTTGATTACTTAGCGAGGGACAGGCGAGGAAAAATATTTAATGCCGCCCAAATTTTCTGGTGACTTACATTTTGAATTCTTGAAATCTTCCAAAATGTGATTTCCACATAGGGACGGAGGGAGTATGTACACGACTGCTTAAAATTTGAATGCCATATTTTGTAATTTTTTTTTAACTTGTCTAACTATCTTTACTTAATTATTTATTACTATTTTTGTTGCTAATCTTCCAAAGATTATATATTGCCTACAACAGATTTAATTGGGTGCGATTCTCAAAATGATGATAAACAAATATGGGAGTGGATAACGGGTGACAAGGTGTCAGTAATTGGCGTTTGAGGAATAGCGGGTTCAAGAAAAATAACCTTAGCAACCCATATTCATGATAAGCTTTTAGAAGAAGCCAATGGTGACATTAAAGTTATTTGGGTGACTGTATCACAAAATATCAACTTGTACAAGTTGTAAAAAGTCATAGCTAAATCAATTAAGTTGGATATATCTGATGAGCCTTGTAAAAGAATTGCCAGAAAATTATTTCAAGCCTTCAAGGAGATGAAGAAGTGTATTATTATCTCAGATGACATTTGGGATCATTTCTCTCTAAAGGACCTTAGATTTCCTATGTCAAGTAATCGAATTAAATTGATTTTGACCACTCGGATAAGGGAAGTGTGTCAACATATGGACTGCAAGAAGGTAGTAAAAGTGGTAGGTCTAAATTTACAAGATTCTTGGGATTTGTTCAGAAAGTTTTCGGGAGTCCATGAAGAATTGTTTTTGGAAGAGAGCTTGGTAAAGAAAGTGGTATCGGCATGTAATGGTTCGCCCCTAGCTATTGTTAGAATCGCAACAGGCATGAAGGGCAAAACGCAGGTTAGAGAATGTTGACGAACTCATGGCCCTTGTGCAGAACAGCTATTTTGACCCTGCTATTGAAATTCCCATGTTGACATATGTTGAATTATTGGACCTGCCACAATTATATCTCATATGCAGAGGCCTCGAGCTCTGCCTTTCTCTCTAAACATCCTCTGCTGAATCTTGCAATCAATTAAGACCCCCTCAGAGAGTGAACTCCAATAATGGAAGTGTGCTTCTAAATAAGACGACCCTGGATGGGTGCTACTGGGAAGTGACTAATCAGGTCCGTATGTGCCCCCGCTGTTTGACTTCATTTTATATTATGTCGATGATGAATACACTTCATGAGCTTCTCCTCCGGCAGTTAGAATGCCTAAAATTAATTTATTATATTAGAGCCAAATAATCATATGGTACGAAGTCGAATTTGAAAGTTGTTTGTGGCATGCCTCTCAATTATTCTAATTCTTTTTGGTAATGTAATATGCAAGACACGGTTATTGCTGTGTGTGACACTGAAGATGATAGGACCTGATATCCTTTGAGTCATTATTTAAAAACTGCTTTTGATTCTATATTTATGTTGTGTGCTTCTATATTTGTTCAATTACGCTACTTTAGTCAGAACATTTATTTATGATGAAACTAGGTTTGTAATGCAACTACTTGCTTATAGCAACAAGACTATTTTATTGGAAGAATGACATGAAGACTTATTCAAGGAACTTATCTATACTGAACTCAAGTCGAATTACATAGGCAAATTTACATATGAACTCTGAATAAGGGACTTATTTATGAATAAAACCTTACTAACTATACTAAAATGCTTTCAAGTATCTTAAAGTTGGTTGTCCTCAGTTTCTGTTTGTAGGACAACATTTTGCAGAGTGATTTGTTTCTATTTATAGGACAAGTTAGAAAATTTGAGAATTATTTAGTACTTTTTTTTTAAAATTAGTGACTTACCTCTGTCGGAGGTTCATATGTCCACGTGCAGCTTTACAAGACAAATTTGAAAATTTGAGAGTTATTTAATATTTTTTTTATTAGTGACCTTAGTGAGAAAAAAATTAATTTTGAAGTTAGAAACATATACGCCAGTAAGAAAAACATATAGAGGATGTGATGCGAAAATTAACGATAGAGGGGGTGTATAATATTTAAACTTGTACTCTCGACTGGGTGCACTAATAATTAACTGGAAAAATATATCTATAATATTTGAGGACAGTTTTGCAAAAAAAAAAAATCCTGTTTATTTTTATTTGATTTCTATTGTTTTAAATAAAGTGATTTAGTTTTGTATATTTTTATGTGTTATTTTAATATAATTTATTGTTATATTTGCAGTGAAACCATTTATTCAATTCTCATTTGGTTGTCACCTTTTTTTTGTTCAGGTGAAATCATTTAAATTTTATATGGATTAGATTGTACATGGTTTTCAACATATGACAAAATAAGTATTCAAATTACAAATAAAAATTGATTGTAAGCTTTTAAAATTTTTATGTTACAAATTTAAGAAAATGCACATGGCATATCTATTCTTCAAGATATTATAGTTACGTCTGGTGCGAAGTATTGAAAATGGGAGATAAGAATTGGGATTGGGTTGAAAACATATGTTAAAAAGATACTTAGCATGAGTGATTTTTTATTACGTGGGATTAGGCAATCCCATATAGATAGGATTAGAAAATACCACCTCTTCTCATGGTATTTTCTAATCCCACATATCTGGGTTTGTCTAATTCCAAGTATCATATAATTACTCATACTATACACTCTTTTAATATATTTTATACTTTTAATTTCAATTCCTATCCCTTATTTTTAATGTTTTGTAGCAAACAGGAGCTATATGTTAAGTATGAATGCCAGTCATACAATACAAATAAGTATTTCGCCATCATGAATAAAAAAGCTGACTTTGAGGAAAGATCATATTGTATTTGCAGTTGAATTATTTTCAAAATTAAGATTTGAAATCTGTAATCAAACTTTTGAAAGACAAAAAGGAAAGATATGGCAACGGAAAGAGAGAAACAGAATTTACCTTTTTTGAGAGTAATGCCGTGAGGACAAGTACTGGTTATTAATTATAATTATAAATAAATAAATAAACAGAAGTGGTTCACGTAAATAGTATGTTAATCATATAAAATTAGAAGTCCTCCTATGTGGCATGAGAATACTCAAATTCAAATTATTTAAAGAAAACAGGCACACTACTCCAAGTACGACTGTGTTTCCAGCGGGCCTACATTATCTTCACCATATATGGTAATCAATCAGACATCGAAAGGCAATATTGGATTATTATCAACTCCTATTTTAGTAGCTGCCGGCACCATGAGAGACAGAGATCTTTCTTCTTATCGCAGGTTAGCTGATTTCTACAGTGTATATATATTGCCATTGCTTGCTTGTGAAGTAGCAGAGAGTTAAGTTTGTGAATTAAAGGAAGAGAGATCTGGGATTGCAGCGCAGAGAGAGAGAGAAGGAGATGGAAGGAAGTAAAGGTGGTGAAGTGAGAAGGATCCATATAGTGTACTTCCTTAGTTTGATGGGTGGTTCTGAAGAACCTCATCTCATGCGTATTCATCATTTGGCTTGCAGTGGAGTCTATCTTCGAGGTGTTTTAACTTCTCTGTTTCTTTCATTACATTCCCGTGAAATTCCTTGCACGTTTCCGTCACCTTTAAGAAAATTGTTCCCACTTGCACGTCATGATTTGTTGACTCTCACTTCCAATGTTGTATGCTTCCCTTTTCTGTCTTTTAATACTTTCTTTCCTTCCCTAAATTTTAAGGTTTTGGACTTCTCTTTGGATCGTGAAAATCACATTATTAAGTGTTGTAAGAAAAGTTTTTTATCAGTCAAGATTTAGTGGAAACACACGGATAAGAACGGCGTGAACTGTGGTTTTGGTTTTTGAGACTCTAGGTCTGCAAATTACAGGCTCCTCTGTCTCTGTGTGTAGCACCCTGTTCCTCGCTTTCTCAGGTCATGATTTATGGACTTTGTTTATGTAATAAAACATGTGAAGAGGTGGATTGGAAAGCAAGAGGGAAGGATTTGGCAGAGACGTATGCATGGTCCTACAAGAGGAAGAATGAATTGTACCCTTATGCTCTGTTTTTGAATTTTTTATTTTTTATTTTTGGATTGAGTTGAAGTATGTGATCTGTGGATTTAAATTGGGAGCAGTAGGCACGACACAGGGCACTTGTGGCAAGACTTTGGATGATGACCTCATTACTCCACTCTCTGATAATGAATACGTCCTCAGGATCTACAATCCAGCCTCCCCCTTTGGTATGTTCTTCAAATGAAATAATGCAGCATTCTCCTTCAGTAACAATTTTCAGAATAAGTTGTGTCAGTATTTGTTGAGAAGCCTCTTTGATTTTGCAGAAACTGTTACGTTTGGTCCAAGGAAAGCTTCCATATTGAACGTGGAGATTCCTGTTCAAGTGTATGATACAGAAGGCAGACAGCTAAGGAAGAAGCACCCATTGCTACCAAAAGAACTTCAACCTGAAAGATTTCCATATTTCAAACCAAATTCTCCAGATTAGCTATCATCAGAAATGAGTTCCGATAGGTCCACATTAGCATATGGAAGTGAATCTGGTAGAGTTGAAGCAGACAAATTTGAGAATCACTCGCTATATTTTTCTCTGTATCAACCCAGTTCGATGAACATGAGCAAGCATCAAAGAAACGAAACTGACAAAACTGATACGTCAGAGACACTACTTTATATATCACTATCATCATCATCTTCTTCTTCTTCTTCCTTATCTCCCTTGAAAGGAAGCAAGAGATTTTCAACTGGAGCTGTTTGTTTCGCAACTTGATCACGTGTGGATGATAATAACGTTAATGCACAGATTCGCGAACATGATAGATTTAGAGGATCAGCCAGGAATGTTGGAAGTTGTTGGAATCCCCAGCAGCATGATGAAGCCAGGTAATTAAAGATTATGACAAAGAATAAAGTTAGATGGATTTTTATAAAGATGCGTTCGGTATCGGTTTCTTTTTAATAGCATGAGGTTTCATATTTACAGAAAAAGCTGTGAGGAGAAGAGCACAAACAAGAAGAAGAAGAAGAAGCTAGGCAAGTTTCTGAATCAGATTTCTCACAAGCCATTTGGTGGGTCAACGTTCTCTAGATGAGAGGACCTACAAAATATAAGAAAATTTATTGCGGGGAAGAGAAACGGGATAGGTTTCGAACACGAAGGCCATTCATGCGAAATAGTCATTTAGTCGGACCATCGCCTGTGGAGAATCAAGTTCGAAAATAAAATTGCTTTTGACCCCATCAGTTTCCCCGAGCCCTATCCAAATTAATTTATTTCATGTCATATGTCACGTGTTAATCAAATTAAATTGAGAATATTTCAATATTTTCAGGTTCTAAATTTGGATTTGTCGCTATAAATTTTTCTACCCATCGAACGAGTTAATCCGCGAATTGTTCTGATGTTTTATTTAATTTTAAAATTTAAATTTCACTTCAATTTAACTTTTTAAAATCATTACAGTTGTAGTCTTACGGTACCAAACGGGATCTTCTTCTGCTAGCTTATCCTCACCTTTAGAGTGTTGAAGTTTAAGCTCACCTTGTGTGAATGCAGAATTTCTGAAACGTCACAGAGCTCTTTTTTTTTTTTTTTGGTGTGACTTCAGAATTAATAGCTATTTCTATTTATTCGGATCACTGATTCATTTACCATTTCCGACAGCTCCTTGTCTTTGGTTGCATGTGGTAGCTGCCGTTTTTAATATAGGAGTATAATAATGTGCAAAATATTTTATTTAAAATTATCGTATTTGATGCTCATCTTAAATTGTTGTAAATTAACATAAGTTTACTAATGCTCATTACTGGAACCTAAATTAATAAAAATATTTAAAAACTAAATTACTTCCTCTGGTCCTAAGCAGCGGCTAAATTAAAATGTTGATTAAAATTAGTTAAAAATAGTAAATATATAAGATATGTAATTTTTTTAAAATATACTCTTATTTTATGAAAATGATGAGTGAAAAAGAAAAACAGGAAAAGAAATGCAGGAGAATGATTGAGAAAAAGATATGAGATAGATATATAAAAATGGGCATCATTTCTATCATTTAAATTAATATTTTAACGTTGGAGATTTAATATTGTATAAAAATATTATTATAATATCACATAATAAATAAACTGGAATTATTAAAAATTTTGTTTTAGTATTTCAATTTGGAAACATAACAAAACAATTATCTTTGAATTTCACCTCCAGCCTGCCCCTTCGCTTTCAACCTAAGCCCAAAGTAGCAGGGCCCCTAGTGCCCTCTTCACAGCCCAAGCCCACGTTAATACACAGTCGCTTCATTACGGCTCCCTAATTGTTTAGTTAATATTAATCTATTAGCGCGATTTCTTGTGTGTTGAGGCGTCAAGTCAGCAGCACTACTGCTTCTTACCAGAGTCAGTCGTCCGCCACGCTTCGATCCTCAACTTGAAGTAGCATTCAGTAAGTTTCTCTCTTTGCTCTGCTTTTCCATTTGATTGGCATGTGACCCGATTTTCATCTTCGTTTTGTCACTATCGGAATCTGCCTTTGCACGATTATTCATTCTCTACTTGGACAGATTCAAGAGTGATCAATCTCTGAAGTTGCGATTCATAATCTTCATTTCTTGATTACTTTGCTCGATCAAATCGCATGCATGTTAAGGAAAGGTAGATGATTCGGTATGCGCAGGAAGAGTAGATTAGATTTACTGACGAAAACTCAAGCCCCAAACTTATAAGCATTCATAAATTTTTGGACTAGTGGTTATAATATAAATTGGGGGTTATAAATTTTTATATATACACTTATATTTTTGTTATTGCCGCATGTTAAAATACATATATATACTTATAAAAATAATAAATAAATAAATAATATCTTGGTAATTTACCATCAAAACATAACTTTTTTTTTTTTTGGAGTTTGATGCTTTGGTTTTACCGTATAATTTCAAAAATCGTGTGGTCTTTAGTAAAGTCACTTTTGCCGTGCTAAAAAAATTTCCCAATAATAAGGCACCATGTCATGCAGCCGTAGAACAATGTATGCTCTGTGCCCTCACATGAATGTTAGTACAACGTTCCATAATCATTTAGGTGAAGTACTTCTGCGCTGTGATTGAAAAACTATTTTTCTGCTTTCCAAACAAGCCCTTAAACTTGCTTAGGGTCACGGTAGGTAAACAGCTGAAATAAGTTTTTGGTTTAGGTTAAAATGATACAAGAGTTTATATTCTTCTTGTCCTAAATATAAAATTTTTTTTGTAGTATAAAACATAAATTACACTATAAAATGAATCTTATATTTAAAATTGGAGTAGTATTAAACAACTCCAATCATTGAGCACCCTTCCTCAAGCCCCTAAAGCCTGAAACACTACTGTTTCAACTCATGCTTTAATTCATGACTTGCAAGTTGTAATACCTATTAAAAAAATAAAAAAACTGAAAATTATTGATGTCAAATAAAAAACTTCAATAAAAATTTATTGTTATTTATGAATTTAGTGATGTCAACGCTAAAGAAAATGTTGTTATCAAATATGGTTTGAGATTTAATAATTTTGAACTTGTTTTTTGTCATTTTTTCTTAAATATTTAATGTTTAAATATGTTTCACACTGACTAAAGAAAATTTTAAACCTTATTAAATCTTATTTAAAATTCAATAACGTTTTAACTTTATCTCTATTTAATATACACTATATCTTATATAAACAAAGTCAATACAATAATAAATAAATGGTAAAATTATATATCCATATAAAAAATTTCTCTCAATATCTTATAAATAGAACTAACAATGCCTTTTTTTTCCGTCCATAAATAAGAGCAGAGGAGTATTCTTTTCTTATGCTGTGAGTTGGCAAGTTGAATGCTTCGGTGTAGATGCTTTGTAATAAGATGGAGCATAAGTTAGTTTAAAGTTTAGAGATTAGAAGTTCAACAACCGATTTAAACATGAAAATAGGTTTTAAATAAAAGGCGTTTCCCGCTTCCGCCAATGGAGTCAATCGGCCCATCAGACAAGAATCTGTCCTTTCTCTCCTTCTCATCCACCATTCTGATAAAGCACTCTGTCATACAGCTGCACTGTACAATGCACACTATTTATTTCAGACTCACTCTTCCCCCAAAGTCCTTCGTCTTCATCATCATATTCCTATTCTGTGGACTCGACTCAACTGCTGTTTCTCACCGGGATCAGCTGTCCGCCATGCCTCAATCCTCAACTTGAAATAGCATTCAGTAATTTTCTGTTTTTGCTCTGCTTTTCCATTTGATTATTATTATGTGACCTCATTTTCATCTTCGTTTGTTGTCGTTTCTGCTTCTGCCTTTGCACAGTTACTCGTTATCTACTCAGACAGATTCAAGGTTGGTCGATCCCTGAAGCTTCTTTGCGCACAATAATCTTCATCCCTTCATTGCTTTGCTCAATCAAATTGCATGCATATTAAGGAAAGGTATGCGATTTTACATGTGCAGGAAAAATAGATTCGATTTATTGACGAAAACTCAAGCCCCAAATTGTGGAACGTATTACTTCAATTTTAATTATTACTTTGGTTCAGTGTCTATATATATAATATTGCGTATGCAGGAAGAGTAATAATGGGAAAGGCAGTTGGAAGGCGAAAGCATGTTGATATGTGGCAACACGTTGAGGTATTGGAGGAAAAAGGTAGATGGAAGTGTATGCATTGTAAAGAGGAATTCTCAGGAGGTGTTAACAGAATCACATCTCATATTAAAGGATTAAAAGGCAGAGGCATTCGAGTATGTCCAAAATTTGATTCAGACAAAGGAGACTCCAGAGATCTCAGAGACAACCTCCTTCATTCTCAACACGGTACGTAGTTATATATGATTATACTCGCTCCTGTATGATCTTTTTTCCAAGATCATGCAGAGGGGATTTTTTTTTTTTCAATAAGAAATCTCATTCACTCATTGGACGGTATATATAATAGATTATAGCATTGTCCAATGAAGCAGGACAGATCCAAGCTGAAGCTAACTATCAGGAAAGCATTCAAGTTGGCTCATCTTTTGTTTCCATTAGAGAGAATGAAAAGCAAGATGGCAATAAAAGATCACGACTTGACAGAGTGAATAGACAAGATTGTTTAGAAGGTATACATCCAACTCCATTTATTTGTCATTTATGAATTTGTTGAAGTTTTTAATCTTTTAAAAATTTTCATAGCTTTTTTTTTTGGCCAAGAAAATTGTCATTACCTTAAAAAATTACTCTCTTCAAATTGTAACCCTCTCTCATATTTTCGTCTTTGCGACTCTCTTCTCCATGACTTTTTAATTATTTAATGAGGGACAAGTGTGGAAAAATATTTAATGCTGCCTACATTTTTTGGTGACTACCGTTTTGAATTCTTGAAATCTTCCAAAAGGTGACTTCCACATAGGGACGTAGAGAGCATGTGTACGACTGCTTAAAATTTGACTGCCATATTATTCAATTCAATTTTTCTTACTTTTCTCATTATCTTTACTTAATTTTTGCTATGATTATACTCCCTCCTGTATGATCTTTTTTCCAAAATCATGCAGAGGGGATTTTTTTTTTTTTAAAATAAGAAATCTCATTCACTCATTGGACGGTCTAATAGATTATAGCATTGTACAATAAAGCAGGACAATTCCAAGCCGAAGCTAACTATCAGGAAATGATTCAAGTTGGGTCATCTTCTGTTTCCGATTGGGAGATTGAAGACTCGTTGGTCATACAATATGTGTTTGAATGCTTAAGGTTAGATTCACATAGTTCCCACTATGTATATGCTCTTCTAATAAGGATATATGAATATACTTTATTTTTTGATTTGTTTTTTAAAATCACTCTCATTCTATTTTTTTTGATAAGTATATCATTCTAATTCTTCAGTCCTGAAGACAAGGTTTTTGTTTCCCCACTCTCATATTTGACTCAAGATGTTTTTATCACACTTAAACCAGAGGCTCCTTTGGATTCATTGGTAGGTATTTATACATTCTTATATTCTGTTATAATATAATGACCAAGGTTTTCGTTATGTTGATATTTAATTTTATGCATTCTTAGGTAATGGATATTTTTGTAGAGATGTTAAACCATGTTGAGCGAAAGAGCAAAACTGTACCTTCGAATTGGTACCTTCCTGTGGCATTTTCAGTGATATCCTATTCCCTTTTTCTGTATGTCAAATGGGTTTTTAATCTAAAACTAATTCATTGACCATAACTTTTAATGGTTCGTTCATGATATAATTATAGAAAGCAGCACTGGAATGCAACATAGGTTACTTTTTGGACTTTGTCCGTTGCCAAAAAATAAAAGAAAATTATATGTCTGACCTGGAATCCTATGAGAGGGTATGTCAGTCTTTTCAACTCTTTATAGAAAAGTTTCTTTGTCAACCTAATGACCTTTTTTTTTCCTTACCAAATATATTAATTTAATTTTTTTATCACGAATAATAGATATTTATTCCTGTTCACATTGGAGCAACGTCAAATGGTGGACATTTTTATTTATATATTATCCATTTAAAGAATAAAGAGATAAAAATATGGGATTCTCTACCCAATACATTTGTGGCTGAACGTGACGAGAGAACCAAAAAATTGGTGAGTGTTAGATAATTGCAATGTTGACAACATTAATCGGTCAATTATTCTTTTGATTTTATAAAATATGTGTTTTATGCATCTAGTTGCTTGCCATGGAAAAACTCTTCGTAAATGTAGCATTTACGGAATTTCGTTCGAAGATGGAAACTGACATCCTCCCACAGCCCAATGGGTGAGTGGACAATTATTATGTAAAATTATATAAACTTTACTAGAAAAAGCTTTTATCATGACCTTGTCATATATGTATCTTTTAATTTGTAGATTTGACTGCGGTATCTTTGTTATGAAGTTCATGGAACAATCATATAATTATGTGAAGAGACATAATTCATTTCAGGTATGACTTCTTACAAACATCTAGTCATATATTCATAGCTAAGCGCTCACACATGCCCACGCATAGTCCTGCACGAGCACGCAAATACTTTTTTTTACCCTATGAGGGAAATGGAGGGGAAGGTAAGGGTGACAAAATTGAAGAAATGAGATTTTAAAATTTGAATAAAGAGAATACAACAGCAACAAAAGTCTTATTCCACTATATGGGATCGGCTATATGAATTACACGACGTCATTGTGCTCTGTCAACAACCCAGTCTTTAGATATGTTGTTGACCAAAAGACCTCATTCAATGACCTCATTCAGTGTTCTTCTTGTTCTTTCTTTGCTCCTTTTTATGGGGCTCTAAACTGTCTGATCTGCCCTCCTCACTGGAGCCTCTAATGGTCGTCTCTGTACATGTCCAAACCACCTTAAGCAATTGTCAACCATTTTCTCTTCGACAAGCGCCACACCAACTCTTGCTCTGATATTTTCGTTTTGAATCTTATCTTTTCTTATATGACCACACATCCATCTCAACATCCTCATTTTTGCTACTCCCATTTTATGCTCCTATTTTTCCTTTATCGCCTAACATTCACTGCCGTATAACATAGTTTGTCTTATAGCAGTTCAAAAAAATTTTTCCTTAAGCTTCTCAGGTACCTTCTTATTGCACATAACTTCATAGCCTTCTTCCATTTTAACTAACCAGCTTGTATTCTATGAGAAACGTCTCTATCAATTTCACCATCCTCATGTACAATAGATCCTAGGTACTTAAACTTTGATCATCAAAGAATGATTTGATCCCCCATCTTAACCTGCAAATCACCATTTTCTTGCCTTTCTCCAAAATTACAATGCGTATATTCCGTTTTGCTCCTGCACAAGCAGAAACCTTTGGACTCTAAAGTCTTTCTCCATAACTCTAATTTTTCTCTTCTTTTGATTCCGCCATGAGAAATGTCATCTGGAAAAAGCATGCACTTAGGGATTTTTTTTTTTGAATAGATTCGATTAGAACGTCTAGAACAGTATCAAACAAGTAAGTATTCAAAGCAGAACCCTGAAGTAG